TCACAGCAATGGCTGTCTCCACCCCCACACCACTCTCCAGATCTGTGACAGGAGGCGGAGTAGTGCGGGGGAGAAGAGACGCCAGCCGCTCACAACGCTCTCCTCCCGCAGGGCTCGGCCTCCTGTGACAGTTTCTCTCCTCCCCGCTGGGACACAGAGCAGCGCCCAGTGGGGAGGAGAGAAAGAACGGATGCACCGCTATTTTGTCCAGAAAATTGTAGTTTCGGCATTTAGACAAAAGTGCCATTTTAGCCCAATATGTTTCGGTGGGTGATATATCGGTGCAACCCTACTAAATTGTGCCTAAGAAGTACCCTGAAAATGTACCGTTTGCCTCAGTGCACTTCCTGTACCCTGGCACATCTGAACCTTGAGCTTAATAACTGTATATATGCAGCGTGATATAGTTTAAAGCACTATGCCTATGACTGCTAGTCTTGTAGGATTTGGAATTAAATTTAGTGACTGTTCTCTCTGCGGGATAGGAAGTTGTATTTGAGCACCTGCAGTGCAAGCATTTCCTTGCTTATGCTCCATCAATGCAATGGATCTGTGCTTTCTTCACCTCACCTGGTGCTTCTTGAATATTATCCTACCAGCCATTAGATGACAAATCATCGGAAGGGGGGGCATGTCTGACATGAGGAAGCACGTCCCTGCTCCTCTACAAAGATGGACACCTCCATAGTGAGACAAATTTTGTAGCAATACAAAATAAATCAGTTGCAAGGTGCCTACAGCCAACACTGAAGACTAGTCATTGGACCTCTGCTCAAAGGAGCGAGCTTGGAGCGGTGGCGACTTTTACAACACACACAGGGACCATGGAGAAATGAAGTAGTCACCCTCCAGAAGGAAGGACCGTTTTAGCACATATTTAGAGATGATTTGAGGATCTACAGCCGAGTGATACACAAATAAGCTACACTTTTGTTAATAGTTAGGGTACCTGAATGCATTTTTAAGATATAACTCCCGAGTTTAGTGTCACTTTCAGAAAAAAGTCAGCTGCCACGCTGATGTGTACCTTTCATGTTCTGTAGTGTCCAGTGTACAAGGCAATGTCCTATTGTTATACCACCACTACACTAAAGCTGCTGCTGATTGGGTGCAGTCACTGTTCAACTGAGAATTTTCTGCATGGCTCCTCCAAATTTTTGATCGAAGAATGACAGGTAGAAGGCTGCTGGCAGAGCCACCTATTGAGCGAATTTTGTCCAGTTCTTGATGAAATTTGCTCCGTGTATGGCCAGCTTTAGCTGCATCTCCATGAGAGCTTTTAATGACATGACAGAGGATGTAGTATCTGCACTACTTAGCAGGAAGTAAATCAGAGCACAGTTTCTAATCTAGGGAGGCCCTGAGCAAGAGCACGCCAAGCAGGATGTGTCAAGGGACTTGTCTTTTCACAGCCTACAAATGACTATTTTTACTTTTGGAAGATCTTCTGCCTATCATGTCTGTAAAAGCATGTAATATTGTCCTGTATACGACATATACCTATTTATAGTTTTATTGTAAACTCAGTGTAATAGCAAGATGATATTTGTTATGCATTTTAACTTTAAGTGATGTAGAACTTTGGGTGCTATGAGCATACATGCAAGATGTAGAAAGAGTATTGTATTCTATAACAGATTACAGCAGGGGTAATGTGGGTACCAATCCAGAATTTTTAGTTTAAGGGCCTGTTCACATGAGTTTCAGGTCCTGATCAGGTCCGGATCTGCAGACGCGGTGCTACTGATACAGTGCGTTTTGGCCGCGTTATGGCCGCGTTTTTGATGCGTTCCAGTAAAAAAAAAAAATTTGCTGGAGTGGGGCTGTTAGTATGTTAGCTACAGTGCAGTGCGTTTTTGACGCGTTTGCATTTCCTGACCGTACAAAATGTGACATGCAGTATTTTTCTGTCGTAAGCTGAACGGACTGCGCATGTGAGAACTGTAGCCCATAAAACACATAGGGATACATTGGGATGCATTTTGAGTGCAGGAGCGTACGGATCAGGTCAGCACACAAAACGGACGTCGTGTGAACAGGCACTAAGGGTAACCTTCTTTTGTATAAAGTAGATGGTGTAAACGTTCTGTGATCTTCACTATAGAAAGAATTGGATGGCAAATGTGGTAATATAGTAATTAGTTTAAAAGTATTATCATATATGTGAAAGGACAAGTGTTTGGATATTTTCACTCAATATGTTTTGCAAAGGGCTAATCAAACTCAGGTAGTCCAGCAGAACATTTACAGAGCCCTTCATCTTAAAACTAGAAAGTCTCCTGTATTATGTGAATGCAAAAGGAGAAGCACTGCACATCTGCATAGTGTAGTAAATCCTTTAATAATGGAATAAAAACACTGTTTTAGCTCATTCATTAATTATCTACTACGCCATGCCAGTGCACTGTGTTTCTCCATTTGTATTGTATGCTCCTACCGTATGTAACCACCAGCAGCAAGGCACAGAGTGAGTATCAACAATTCACATTGCCATTTGTCCTGCACAAATCTGTAAACATTTGTTCTGTGCGAATGGAGGCAAAAATTTACATCCTTAGTATATTTTCCTTCCAGGTTGCATGTAATACCAAGTAAATTCCACATTATGGCCACTATAAAGAGCTGAGGAGTATAGAAATAGGTATTTATTGTCTTTGCTCTTCACTGAGGAGTCCTCAGCCATCTAGTGGCCATAACAGAATTTTTTTCATTTACAAACATATACCTATCAGATTCAGCACTCACCAGAAACGTCAGACCCACAACTATAAACTCTTGTGTTACAGCCTCCCAATCATCAGTTCTCCTCCTCCTAACTCTTTGATCACTCCTGACCTCCACACCAGCATACTGTAGACGGGATCACAGCTTCAATTCACCTGCAACTTTCCACTTCTCCTCCTGTATATCAGGCAGGAACTTGATACACAGTCTCAGAGTCTCAAACAAAATAAAACCAGCATAGCGTAACTCCACTTTATTTAAAAAAAATTAAACATAATTACAATCACCAGCTCCGGCATATTTGACGTTTCCTCAGTTGACTTCGTCAATAAGAAATGGTTAATTTATATAGAAATTTTCCTGTACAATTTATTTTTATATTTTAGGTGATTTAAACCTTTTCTGGGCTTGAATTGATGTGGGCTCAGAGCGCTGACTCCTGATCAGTTTTTTTTCTTGTCTTCTATTATGTGGACTTTTTTTGCATTTAAAGTGCAGCTGAACCCAAAACATTTTATTTGTCCTGGTGAACGTTATCACTAAAAGTTAAGGAGAAAATCCCAAATTTTGGTTTGTCATCAGAACAGGAATAGAGGGGAAATCTTCCGATGGGCACACTAGTTCTGGTGACCCTGTTGACCCCCAGGGATTTCCCTCGCTGTTGAGGGATTTCCTCTCACTCACTGTTGTGGCTATTGGACTGGAAGTGAAAGAAAATCTCTCCAATGGGACAGAGATGGCAAGAAAAAGCTGACAGGGGTTATAACCTTCCCTTACTCAATCCAAAACAAAAACAAAAAGATTTGGCTTCAGTTCTACTGAAGTGCATTGGCCACAATTGTTCCTGGAAATTATTTATTCTTTTGAAAAAACAGAAATTTTACTGAAAACTAATCTTACTTCCTCTACACGTTGATTGTTTTCCCAAGGATGTAAATCTATGTGTATATATGATAACATTGAGGGAATATGGGAAGGGTCTTATAATCTCTGCTGTTTCCCCAGTCTGCAGTGGTGAAGATTGCTTACAGGAAGACCAGTGCTATAATGGAACGACTGATAGATATGTGGAATTAGAGTGTAGAGTGATTAGGAAAATGTGGGCTAAATATAGTCTTGTCTCTTCATTTCTGGTGACATTTTTGGTCAAAGGTCATGGTGAAGCAGACGATAATACAGGAAATGGTTAACACGTTATGCCAGTGGATAGTACTGTAGAGAGAGAACCATTGTAAGGAATATTGTAGGAAGGGGAATAAGCAAAGGGTGTGTGGCAATAGACAGTGGATCCATTGTCACCCCGCACCCTCAGGCACAATGTGTCCTCCAACATGCATGTGATACAGAGCATGCTTTCAGTAAGGACACTTGGGGCTGGGGTTATATCTGACTCTGTGCCATAGTCATAAATACCATGCACTCCCCTATGCTATCAGTCTTGTCCTTTGTGTTTATACATATCAACTACCCACTGTGAAATCAGTAGACTCACACGCAAAAAAGGCCTACGGTGCATTCTTGAACATTACATATGTACTGTGCTATTTACAAACTGGACTTGAACTTTGCACTTATAATACAATAAAGACCAACTCCACTGAAAGATTTTCCTTTACTTTTGGGTTGCCTGGTGAAGGGTGAGAGCCTTTGTCCGTTGTTTTATATTGCCATCTGCCTAACACTGAAATTGCGCCTCACCCCCTGTCAAATCCAGTCCTCATTGCAAAGAGGTTACACTGGCATTCAGCACTTATCCTGCCCTAATGCAAGGTTCATTACATATTATTGTTGCTCAAGCCCTAAGAAAGGGGCATTCTAATTCCCCCAAGACACGTTGACTATATCTGACACATCCATTCAAATAAACAACCTAGATGAACCTTCAAGCGAGATGTAAGACCACTTTTTCAAGAGGTGCTCCTAACCACTCATCCAAGATTTGATCTTCTGTTGAGCAATTCCCCCCATCCCTACCAGATAGGCAGCAGCCTTGGACCATAACCAGGTCCATAAACTACATGCACACTGTCGTTACGGGCTATCTCCCTCAAGTCCCCAGTCCATCCCATTTTGCATATGGGTGTCACAGGGACAAGAAGTGAAGAAGGATCTCTATGATGTCACAGAGAAAAGTAAACAAAGTAAATAGCACTTCCTCTATCTATCCAACTAAAAGAAAATGTGTATGAAATTGAGCTTTTAAGATATTTTCCTAAGTCATCAAACTGTGTTTACCATGCTATCGTGCTATTGATACCATATTCATCCTCTCCCAGATGTCGTGGCGCCCGCAGTATCGCAGTTCTAAATTTAGGAACGTATACGGCAAGGTCGCAAGTCGAGAGAACTGTTATGAATGTATACCCATCACCAAGAATGTGCATGACAACTCATTCTGTGCTGTCAACTCCAAATTCCTGGCTATTGTCACCGAGAGTGCAGGAGGGGGTGCATTTCTGGTGATCCCCCTCCACCAGGTGAGTGGCAAAACTTATATTTTATTTAACAAATAGGAGAGGACTTAAACCAGAGGTTGTCCAGGCATTTTATAATGAAGGAACCCCATACTGAAGCATGTAGGCTGCCATTGCTGGTCTCTACTTCTAAAATTGCTAGTTGCATGGCTTTCATGATCATCCAGTGGCTTCAATATTTCCTGACAAGTACACAGAGCAGGCGTTTTGACTTCATGATGCTTCACCTGGTGTGTGCTTTCTCTGGGTCAGTGACTCAGAAGGTTTTTTGAAGCCAGAGATTGCCAGACAACATACATTCCAGAAGCAGGTCAGCAGTGGCATCCTACATTATCTCCATCTAGGTTTCCTTTATATTGAATGTAAAACTATGATATTACTACTGAGGTTCCAACATTGGCCTGCTGAATGCCAAGGGTGAGGCTTAGCTTAGGGTGGATGGGGCTTAAAGGACTACCATCATTTGAAATATTTTAATGACACCTGTGCTAATAAAGTGTTATTTTTGCAGTGCTTTTCTTAGCTCATATAGCTTCAACAATGATGGGGAATTTCCATCTTACCATGAAAATAGGGGCCACCTTTCATACCAGTATACTTTACCAACTTACTTACAATGGCTTTATAACAATGTACAGTACATATTTGATATATAACATAATATCCCTATTCTAAGTGTCCGATAACTCATCTATAAACAAGTATATAAAGACACATCCCCTCAACAAGACAGGCACATTCTCATAATTTCATAGTATGAAGCATTAGCAAGCACAAAACAATACTGGAAATGTTTCAAACAACTTCTTCTCCATGGCCAGCTGGTTTCATTATCCACTGTTTGAATACCTAACAAGTTTTTATGAGTAATATTTTTCTCCTCTAGAATACAAACCTCCTCTAAGAGTATCCACCGGAATTTTACATTTTCTTTCAAAATTATTTTTCCCTAAAGAGGTTTCTTTGGGGCTGACAGATCTATCACCCTTCACCCTTAGGTTAGGTTCTATTGATTTTGTCAGGCCTAATAGAGCTGCAATTATCATTCAGCCAAATTTTGATGTTACATGACAACTAACCTACATATGTCATGGCACAGACACTGGGTCATATAGACTACAATAGTTGTTTTAAACATAGTATTATTTGATAAGATATTAAGTGCATGGTTTCAAATGTGTCACCTGATCCCCTCTAATTTAAACGGATAAAATAATTTGGGAAGTTCAAACATTCATGCAACACGTACATGTTGCATGAGTGTTGACAAAAATATTGAGTAACACATTTACTTTAACAAATATCAGATCAGATTCTCCTTCCATTTCTGTTAACTATGGAGGAGAAACTTTGGAGGAGAGTGTAATACCCTGATAGAACCAGATAAGATGAAATCAGTAGCCAAAGAACGTTCTAATTTTACCAAATCCACATGCGCACCAAAAGATGAAATAACATTAGATCGCTATGGAACACACCACTTCCTCTTGCCTTGCTCTTCTAGTATTTTGTGTTCCATTTGACCGATCTCCTCTGCTAGCTCCTGACACCTTGTACCCTTGGGCAAGAATGTTCCAGAATGATTGGCTGGCTGCCCCAGACACTACTATACTAAACTAAGCCATTTGGTCGCATTTAAATATCCTCATCACCATTAAAATAACAAATGGACTTCATGCAATAAAAAACATGGAAGCACCAAAAAATATAATCATTTTGAGCGCAGATTAAAATATTCAAATCTTTTAAATAACACACACATACTGCTCATTAAAATGTTTCCTATTTATTTATAAAAACTTTGTATATATATATATATATATATATATATATATATACACACACACAGTATATATGTGTACTTCAACTCTGAGCTTCAAAAAACCTAAGACCGTTTTTATAGCGTATGCCCACGATTCAAGGGGCTCCCATAAGAAATATATTTGGGAATTATAGCCCAATTGAACCTTCTGTTTAAACCATTCCATGTACATTAAAACACAATGGTGTTTAAGAACTTACAGTTAGTTTTTTACTCTAAAGCACCACATGTCTCAGTTGAAAAGCCTGTCCCCTGCCAGCAGCTGCAGAGTGGGACCCTTGCCCTCTGTGTGGAAGTAGTGATCTCTCTGCAGAGGTCTGGCACACCTGCTACTTAGTCAGAGTCAGAAATCTCCAATCAATTTGCTGATTGCAGAGCTATAGGTCGGACTTAGCCAGGGGCATGTCGGACATCAGCAAAAAGACCACTGCTTCTATGCACAGAGCATACATCCCACTCTGGACTTGCTGGTACAGGACAAGCAGTTATACTCAGTCTGTGGCTAATTCTCAAAGAAAACTAAATATAAGACTTTGCACACCTTTTGTTTTGATCCTCCTGAAATGTATTTAGCTGCTTTAAACTGGAAGTTTAATTGGGCTTTAACAAATGTACTAATTCACTACATGCTGCCTACATTATAAAAGTATTGTTGGTCTCACTTTTTATCAAACTGACCGGTTCGCTTTAAAGTCCAACTGTGCCCTAGAAGAAAAATATGTCAATAGCTTCTGTGTGCATTAGAATAGTCAGTTAGAAGAGTCTTAAAGCAAAGATATAATTGGCAATGTGTCATTCAGTGCCCAAGCTTCTGCTGAAAGGAGCAGTATTACATTTGATCACACATCCGAACAAACTGAACAAGACTCCTTCAATGTCAGCTGGAGCATGTCCACTATTACCAGATCCTGAAGGCAAAAGCACAATCACGAGGAACTCTTCCGTACCAGGAGGTTATATACTTGAAAAAAATTCTAAGAAATGCCATTTTTAGCAAAAACAACATCCAGGTGAGCTGCAAAGCAACAGATTAATTTTCACCGAGACTAATCTCTCCAAAACCTGAAAACTGTCATGATAGAGCGAAAACATTTAGGAAATGCAGTGGTTAATAAATAAAGTGCTACGTGCAGTGACTATATAGAAAGTGCCTTAACCCACAACAGACAAGAAGATCTCCGCATACTCTGATGCTCTGATTTCTGATTGGTTGCTTTGGGTTTATGCCATTATGCTTCATCATTGCATTTTGAAGTATCATATAACATAAAATATATTTAGGGACATATTTATAAAGCAATTAATATCAACATTCACTGCTAATAAATGTTCCTTGTGTATGTGTTTTAAATGACAGTGATTGATAGACATGTAAATGTTGTATCCGAATGGTTACCTATATGAATTTCGTTAAATTCAGACATTCGGATGCATCTGAATGTTTTAATTGGAACATGTCCAAATGCGAATGAATCCGAATGTTCATTTAACAAAAATTTTGATCCGTCTGAATTACATTCAAAATAAAACTTAACCGAACATGTGACTGTTCTCAACCACATCAGATTTTTTTTGGTCTGTATAGGATTTCAAGTACATTTGTGGATCGTTCCAAAATAAAAATTCAGACGGATACGAAATCCGAATAACAAACTGAATAAAATCTCAGCTCCCAAAAACAAAAGAAATAAAAATCTGAATCAATACAAAACAAATGTGTTGCAGGGTTACATGTCTAGTGATTGATTCACCACCAGTGACTGTATGATGAATGACACATTCACTACTTTATAATATGCCCCTAAATGTTATTTGCAAATTGCAGCTCCCCATTTTTATAATATTGATTTTTTTTTTTTAAAGAAACAGCTATGACATTTAGGTGACTTCAAAAGTAAGAGTTGAAATGTGATGAGAAGGAATTATGTTTTGTTATGTTATTTAGCCATGTACAACTTGATCAAATGAAAAGTGGTCATTCTATTAAAGTTTGTGTCCAACCAAAGGTTTTTTTCTTTGTTTTTCATAGAAAAGGGAAGGTTTAGAACCCCTTTCAGGTTTTTACTGCTATCTGGAACTCCGTTACTCTCACTTCCTCTCGTGCTGACAACAGTTTCACCTGAGTGGAAGTCTCCACTCTCCAACAACAACACAGGCAGAAAAAAAATGATTTTCTTTAGAAGAGTAAGGTAAGGCTAGAAGAACCCCCGTTGGATTTGTATTTCTGTTTGTGTCCCTTTTGAAGATTATACTTTACTTCCTGTCTGGTGGAACCATTGTCAGCAGGAGGGGAAATCTCTGTAACGGAGCCCTGGAGAGCAGTAAAAACCTGTCCTATCCAATCTTCCCTGCCCTATCCAAAACTAAAAAAAAATATGTCTGCATGTACAGTGAATCAGATAATGCTAGAAAAAGAATTATCATATCAGTTGCTGTGAGGAATTGCTGATCCAGTTTTTATATCCTATTTGATTATACCAATATTAGACCACTGTTGGTGTCTTGTTCCAGCGTCTATTTTGTTTATGTCAGAAAAGCAAAGACATACAAATCGGTCTACTGGCAGTGTATAAATTCAACATTTTAATACATTTTTGGATTATATGTTATTTTAAGCTGTTACTTCAATAATAATGATCAGAGCGTTTTGCATGGGCAGTCTGTGTGTAGGAGGAGGGAGGAGCTACTGACAGGTGTATCTGTCTGTCCTCCTCCCCCAGGTCTGCATTGTAGGGGGTTCACCTCTGAAATGTTCTGTGCCTCCCCCAGACTGGACGCATTGAGCCCAACCACCCCAAGGTGTGCGGGCACCAGGGCACAGTGCTGGATATTAAGTGGAACCCATTCATTGAGAATGTCATCGCCTCCTGCTCCGAGGACACTTCGGTAAGTCATTATATCTGCTTCATCTTGATGTATTTCACTTAGGACATAATATGATAGCACTCCACAGAGCATTTGCAGGACACAATTATAGTGACATAGCATCAGGATACATAAGTAGTGACATAGCATCAGGACACAAATGTAGTGACATAGCACCTGTGTGTGTTGTAGCCACTGATTTAAGTTCGCTCCCATGATTGACTACAATCTCAATACAAATGATTAAACTAAACATGGGATTGTAGTCCATCATGGGAGCGAGCTTGGAGCGATGGCTACTTTACAACACACACAGGGACCATGGAGAACAAAAGTAGTCACCCCCAGAAGGAAGGACAGTGTCAGCATGAATTCAGAGATGATTTGAGGATCTACAGCCGAGTGATACACAAATAAGATACATTTTTGTTAATAGTTAGGGTACTTGAATGTATTTTGAGTGTTGTATTTTAAGGGCCCAGTCTTTGCATTAGAGCTGCATTGCTTAATTCAGGCCCAGCGCAATGACAAACTGAAATCCATTGTTTCCAAAAGGCCCAGTACAGAACAATGTGCTGTTAACGTGACACTAAACTCAAGAGTTAAACCTTAAGTCCCCGTTCATACCAGAGCGTTTGTAGCTAGTATTTGTCAGCACAGAAAAGCTCTGCACAATCCTGTAAGTATGCACCTCTTTTTGGGGAGATCAGCGCAACGTGACCCTTTTTCATATTCCTAATCGTACTGATATGCCCAAAAAAGAAGCTCATGTACTTTTTCCAGCTACCAGCTTTTTTGTCAGGACGACGCTATGCTGAGACGTGAATGGGGACTATAGAAATCAATAGGATTTCTTGTACGGAGCTTTTCCGTGCTGACAAATATGAGCTACAAATGCCCTGGTATGAACGGGGACTTAAGGTTTAACTCTTGAGTTTAGTGTCACGTTAACAGCACATTGTTCTGTACTGGGCCTTTTGGAAACAATGGATTTCAGTTTGTCATTGCGCTGGGTCTGAATTAAGCAATGCAGCTCTAATGCAATGACTAGACCCTTATAGGATAAAAAAAAAAAAAATCAAGCATTCCCATGTACGGAGTGCATAAATAAAATTGTGAAACATGAATATGAGAAGATGTGCCAACCAAAATAGTAGTTGTGAATAGGATCCAAGGCCAACACTGTCCAAGCTAGTTACAGACTGTCCAAACAACCTCCTATTAAGTGTAATGAAGTGTGAAGTCCCACACTAAGCATTTCGTCACTAAGGAATTGATCGGGTTACCCCAATGAAGTCCTTAAGGTGGCCATACACTGGAAATTTTAGCCGGTTCTTGAAATTCGCAGAATGGGTGCCACTGTTGGCACCCTTTCGGCCGACATCCCTCAATCAGCTGGTCGTAAAATCTTCCTACGAACAGAGATGGCTGTCAATGAGCTGCCAGCTCTGTCCACTGTCAGAGTACAACAGAAGCAGCGAGGATTCTTTGATTAACATGCTCAAAGCGTTAATGGGGGAATCTGCTATATTTTTTTCGTTCATGCCGTTGGTTGAAGGAAAAAAATAGGGCAGTGGATGACCAGCTTTAGTAATGAAACACCTAGGGCGTGCCTTGACACCCCATATCACATGCACTGTGTTAAGAAGTAAGCAGATTACATTTAGTCCCTTATTACTGTTAAATATATATATATTTTTTCATTTTTGGCACACTGTTTTTAGGATCAATACATTGATCCTAATAAAATATTGTTGAGCCAAATTTTTTTGGGTGCACATGCAATGTGCACTCAATATGCATCAAATCATCAACATACAGGCGAAACTCGAATAATTAGAATATCGTGCAAAGTTAATTTATTTCACTAATGCAACTTAAAAGGTGAAACTAATATATGAGATAGACTCATTACATGCAAAGCAAGATAATTCAAGCCGTGATTTGTCATAATTGTGAGGATTATGGCTTACAGCTCATGAAAACCCAAAGAACCCCAAATCCACAACCTCAAAAAAGTAGATTATTACATGCAATCAATAAAACAAGGATTGTACATAGAACAATATCGGACCTCTGAATGGTAC